GGTATTAAAAGTATCAACACAAGACAGAACAGAAACAATGGGTATTGAATAGAAGTGTTTGTAGAAAGCCTATTGGTCCATATTTCTTGATGCTTCTATATTGGAGCGGAGTCTTGAGGTGGGTAGAATATAGTTGTGCAATAATTGGCTGTTGATTGCTGGTGTTGACTTCTTGATGTGTAGTGCCTCGCAAACGTCAAGCCGCCTGCTATCGCTGTATCTATCGATGATTTCTGTGTTGTTTACTAGGATTTCTCTGGCGATGGTTTGGTTATGGGAAGAGATTATATGTTCCTTAATGGAGCCCTGTTGTTTATGCATCGTTAAACGCCTAGAAAGAGATGTTGTTGTCTTGCCTATATACTGGGTTTTTTTGGAGCTTACAGTCCCCAAGTGGGCATTTGAAGGCATAGACGACGTTAGTCTCTTTTAAAGCGTTCTGTTTCGTGTCTGGAGAGTTTCTCATGAGTAGGCTGGCCGTTTTTCTGGTTTTATAGTAAATCGTCAGTTGTATCCTCTGATTTTTGTCTGTAGGGATAACGTTTCTATTAACAATATCTTTCAGGACCCTTTCCTCTGTTTTATGAGCTGTGGAAAAGAAGTTCCTGTAAAATAGTCTAATAGGGGGTATAGGTGTTGTGTTAGTTGTCTCTTCGGAGGTTGCATGGCTTTTCACTTTCCTTCTTATGATGTCTTCGATGAAACCATTGGAGAAGCCGTTATTGACTAGAACCTGCCTTACCCTACAGAGTTCTTCGTCGACTTGCTTCCATTCTGAGCTGTGGCTGAGAGCACGGTCGACGTATGCGTTAACAACACTCCTCTTGTACCTGTCAGGGCAGTCGCTGTTGGCATTTAGGCACATTCCTATGTTTGTTTCCTTTGTGTAGACTGCAGTGTGGAAACCTCCGCCCTTTTCCATGACTGTTACATCTAGAAAAGGCAGCTTCCCATCCTTTTCCGTCTCGTAAGTGAAACGCAGCACGGAACTCTGCTCAAATGCCTCCTTCAGCTCCTGCAGATGTCTGACATCAGGTACCTGTGTAAAAATGTCGTCAACATACCTGCAGTATATGGCCGGTTTCAAGTTCATGTCGACTAAGACTTTTTGCTCGATGGTACCCATGTAGAAGTTTGCAAACAGGACACCTAGGGGAGAACCCATGGCGACCCCATCTACTTGCTTATACATGTGCCCATCCGGGCTCAAGAAGGGTGCCTCTTTAGTACAAGCTTGGAGTAGTTTCCTCAGAATACTTTCTGGCATGTCAAGAGGAGTACAGGCTGGATCACGATACACTCTGTCGGCTATCATTCCGATTGTCTCGTCCACAGGTACGTTGGTAAACAGCGATTCTACGTCCAACGAGGCTCTTATCCCTGTGGCCCGTGCGCCCCGCAGTAAGTCCACAAATTCCTTTGGAGACTTACCAAAGATGCCCACTTGGGGACTGTAAGCTCCAAAAAACCCAGTATATAGGCAAGACAACAACATCTCTTTCTAGGCGTTTAACGATGCATAAACAACAGGGCTCCATTAAGGAACATATAATCTCTTCCCATAACCAAACCATCGCCAGAGAAATCCTAGTAAACAACACAGAAATCATCGATAGATACAGCGATAGCAGGCGGCTTGACGTTTGCGAGGCACTACACATCAAGAAGTCAACACCAGCAATCAACAGCCAATTATTGCACAACTATATTCTACCCACCTCAAGACTCCGCTCCAATATAGAAGCATCAAGAAATATGGACCAATAGGCTTTCTACAAACACTTCTATTCAATACCCATTGTTTCTGTTCTGTCTTGTGTTGATACTTTTAATACCCTATTAATATCCTCTAGTGTTCTGTCTTGTGTTAATGCCACATCATCCTTCCCACCTCACTCAAATGTAATGCCACATCACCCTTCCCACCTCACTCAAATGTAGATATAAAATCAGGGAAACGCAAGTTCTAATCAGTTGTGTATTTGTGAAGTCTTTGAAAATGTAATAAGTTTTACGAAACGCGCCCGTGTCGCGTCAGACTAGAAATAAAAATGAATTTTGGAGAAGTGATTTTTGATTTACCTCCAACAGTGAAGCATAATGTACGAAAGATTGAGAAAATTCGTGTTAGAATTATTAATCTTACTTTTTCGGTCATATTTAATAATATATGTCTACAGGAAAGACTGCTACCAAAATATACTAATATATATATATATATATATATATATATATATATATATATATATATATATATATATATATATATATATATATATATATATATATATACAATCACAGCCTGGTTGATCAGGTATTCTTTGGAGGTGTTTGTCGAGTTCTCTCTTGAACACTGTGAGACCCTCCCCTGGACCTCCCCTGGACCTCCCCTGGACCTCCCCCTGGATACAACCCCATAACAGTTGCATATTGCATTAGGTGAAAGGAAAAGTGCCCAACTATTTATGTCCCGCCCGAGAATCGAACTCATGATCCCCGATTGTGAGTGGAAAACGAAGCCAACTGTACTACCAGACCCAATGAATGGACAAATGATATATTGTTTAATATCTGTAACCTACTTTTACTATTACTAACTTCTTTCCTCTGGGCTGTTGCCTCCCCGCCCCATGGAGGGGGGAACAGGATGATGATAATCTATATATGTATGTATGCATGTAATTTATGTATGTATATGTACATGTATGTATGTGTGTAGTAGGCATATAGCATTCTTGTGAGACTATGGAGTTGCGCTCTGGTTGCCGAGGCTGGAGTTTCTTCTCTAGGGCGCAAAGCCAAGGTAGATCCATATGTGGAGAAGCTGTTACCCATGCAGCAGGTCCCCCCCTCTCCACGTTGCTGAAATTGTCCAATGGGAAGGCAGACGTCAATACGCTTGATTTCAGCGCCGTCGCAGGAGCTGCCAGAACGAGGTTGAAGTCAACAACGAACTGCTTTAGGGGCTGCAGCTCCGGATTTTTGACTCCTGAAGCCCGTCCCAAAAGTGGGTGTGGCCGCGAGGCAGCGGTTTGAGATCAGGGTTTTCCTTCCTCCTAGATGAGCTGAATTCCCAGGCTGTCGAGTCCCATCTACCCGGAGGAGCTGGTTGTAAGGCGCCTGAGGCACGAGCTGGTGCACGAGCACGAGGACCTGAAGGGCCGCCCCTGGTACTCCTGCAGCAGGCTGGTAGCCTCGCTGAGGGCCCTGCAGGACCTCCCGGGGGAGGCCTGGGAGTCCTCCGGGGTCCTCCACGCACTACAACACACAACTCAAATATCATAACAATAATAATATCATCACCATTATTATAATATTAATATTGTAATAATATATAAATTATAATATATAATATATATTATGATAATAAAACAATAATTATATATTGTTACAATATTAATATTATAATAATGATGATATTATTATTATAATATTTATGTTGTGTGGGGTAGTTCCCGGAGGGCTACCGGGGAATACCACATACATACGTACAGAAAATGTATATGTATATATGCATGTAGGTATGCGAAATCTTCCAAAAATCTCTTCAGTACTAGTGTTGAATGAGGTGTGTACAGTGATGTCTGTGTAAGTGGAGAGTCAACCGCTCACTGCCCGTGCCCAATTGATGCACTTAACAGGAGAAAGGAGAGGAACCAATCCTAGGGAGGAGGAGGAGGGTAAAGAAAGCAATGTTTGCCAGCCACAGTGAGAGGATGGTATATAAGGCGGCGGCAGCCACCACAGTCATCCACACACTACCATGAAGCTCCTGGTGAGTGGCGCCTCCTCCAGCTTTTGCCGGGATCGTCTTCCCTGTGATTATACGCTCCTGCCCCACACCCTCACCTGCCCCACACCCTCACCTGCCCCACACCCTCACCTGCCCCACACCCTCACCTACCCCACACCCTCACCTGCCCCACACCCTCACCTGCCCCACACCCTCACCTGCCCACACCCACACCTGCCCACACCCACACGCACTCCCGCCCAAATCCACACGCTGTTGCCCACATACCAGGCGCTAGTGCACAAACACACGCTCGCCGGCTTCCACAAACTGCTGACAGAAAGTGAGCGATGCGGTATTCAACAAGTTTCAATATGTAACTTTAGACATATCCTGTCAGTCGTCAGCTTGAAATGTGAGTGGTGTGCAGGGCTGTAGCACACTCCCGCGACGATGAACTTCCCGACCCTGGACACCACATTCGCAGTTTGCTTCACCAATTCCTTGCCAACATTTTGTTTTACCGCCTTGATATCTGCCTCGTTCAGCTTTACATGATTGTATCGGCAGAATACAGAATATGTCAGCAATATTTTTCAGGTTGTATTAAAAGGACCGGGATGGAAGTACAATGGACCCATTATTGGATACTTGAGCGATCGCGTGTGAGCTAAGGGCATCGGCCCACCTCACATCTCTGACGCGTAAATTCTTGGTAATTTTTAGATTTCCAAACTTAACATTATTTCCTTGGCAGATGTGATATAAACAATTAGTTTGCAATATATAGGTAAATAGGGTAAACACATGTGGCGTTGCCACATATGGTCACATATTTGTCGAGACGTTGTAAATAACAACATGAAACGTTCTTGGTTGTGACGATATCCTCCCTCCTTCCCGCCCCCTCCCCCCAAGGCAAGAAGAGAGAGCTGCCAGGCGCATTAACAGGATGGGACTCGAGCCAACACTGGGTGCACTTGCCCATTGTACCGGATTATTCTATATCTCACTCTGAAGCGTTATTTTAACATATCACTGAAGCATTTTAAATATTTGCAATACACAAGAGAAACATGATCAACAAAAGTGTCAGTCGAGGAGCTGAGTACTGTGCAAACATTGTTATTATACGAAAATGTTCTATAAAACAAAATATGAACGGACTATGCCAGTACACTCAGTTGAATACCTCCCGTCTAATGTCAGAAGCTTCTTTAATTGTCAAACGTTAATTTACATCGCACGACGTTCAGTAGAAGCTAACATGTTGTTTCTTCCTCAGATATTGGTCTTGGCGTTGGCGGCTGCCACGCGAGCCTCCCCTCAAGGCTACGGCCTGGCTACGCCCTCTGGTCCATCTTTCTCCGCTGGCGGTGGGTTCGCGGGCGGCTCTGGGTTCGCAGGCGGCGCTGGGTTCGCAGGCGGCGCTGGGTTCGCAGGCGGCGCTGGGTTTGCTGCAGGTGGTATTGGCTTCTCAGGTGGTTCCGGTTTCTCCTCCGGAGGTTCAGGCGGATACTCTGGTGGCAGCTGTGGCGGTGGACAGATTCGTCATGTGGACGGCAGCTGCGTTACTCCCGTGATCACCCGCAACCTGTATGTGTACAGCGCTCCTGCAGCGCCTCCCATTGTCGGCCCTCGACCCTATGTACCTCCACCACGAGTTGAACACAACATTTTGTTCATCCGCACCCCAGAGATTGGTCCAGGCCAGGAACCCATCGTGGTGCCACCACCTCAACAGAAGAACGTTGTGTACGTCCTCAACAGGCGACCCGAGCACGACCAGAAGGTCATCCACGTACCAGCACCAGAACAAGAAAGTCCTCAAGTGTTCTTCGTCAACTATGGAGAAGGAGACAACCCGACGCTGCCTACCGGTGGAGACCTGCAGTCTGCCCTCAGCTCTGCTGCCCAAGGTGGCGGTGACGTCATTGGTGGCGGCGGTGGTGGCTTTGGTGGCGGCGCTGGAATCTTAGGTGGCGGTGGTGGTGGTGGTTTTGTGAGCGGTGGTGGCATTGGCGGCGGCATTGGTGGTGGCATTGGCGGCGGCATTGGCGGCGGCATTGGCGGTGGCGGAGGTTTCGTGAGCGGCGGCGGCATTGGCGGTGGCATTGGCGGCGGCGGAGGTTTCGTGAGCGGCGGCGGCATTGGAGGTGGCATTGGCGGCGGCGGCGGCGGGGCGTACAGCGCTCCCCCTGCGCCGTCAACATTGTACAGAGGACCTTAACTAGCGTCATATGATGGCAGATCTCTCTAACACCCCATGTTATTGTTTCTGTTAAACATGGTGTGGTAATCTTGTCAGAGGGTGAGACTGCTCCCGCCAGCGGTCTACGGCTTCGCTTACTGTATGCTTCATGTTATCCACACAATATATTTTATTATGTAACTCATAATATTATTATCCTTATAAATTACTTTGAAAAATACCAAGAAATTTCTTGCCCTGGTTTCACTTGTCTTCATAGATTCGTTGCTTAACACAAAACAAATATATATTTTTTTTAGATTGGAAAGATTATAACTTAGGTTACATACTATATTTTTATACCGCCACTGTTGACACTTAAGTATTCTTTATTCTCGACAAGAAATAGACTAAACATTAAATACTTGTATATAGACTGAGAAATACACTTATTGGTGTATATATCGTTGTAAGTACTGTACAACAGCAACAGTACTGAACCACGAACAACAGTACATCTGAACACCGAACAACAATGCTGAACACCGAGTAACAGTATTGAACACTTGAGCAACAGTACTGAACGCCGAGTAACAGTATTGAACACCGAGCAACAGTACTGAACATCGATCAACAGTACTGAACACCAAGCAACAGTATTAAACACCAAGAAACATTACTGAACACCAAGCAACAGTATTAAACACCAAGAAACATTACTGAACACCAAGCAACAGTATTAAACACCAAGAAACATTACTGAACACCAAGCAACAGTATTAAACACCAAGAAACATTACTGAACACCAAGCAACAGTATTAAACACCAAGAAACATTACTGAACACTAAGCAACAGTATTAAACACCAAGAAACATTACTGAACACCAAGCAACAGTATTAAACACCAAGAAACAGTACTGAACACCAAGCAACAGTATTAAACACCAAGAAACATTACTGAACACCAAGCAACAGTATTAAACACCAAGAAACATTACTGAACACTAAGCAACAGTATTAAACACCAAGAAACATTACTGAACACCAAGCAACAGTATTAAACACCAAGAAACATTACTGAACACCAAGCAACAGTATTAAACACCAAGAAACATTACTGAACACCAAGCAACAGTATTAAACACCGAGCAACAGTGTGGGAATTTCCCAGCAGGTGTTTATGTTAAGATTAATTATAATTGAGTGGAGTGTAAAGAGTGGACTGGATCATTATATATACATGCTCGGTGTAACCACTTACACAACCTGGGAGGGTTGATTTAATATTGCTAAATCCACCGTATAATCTTATGTAACCATTGATTTAGTAAATCATGGTAATTAATAAATTTCTACACAGTTAGTAGACTAACTACAATTCTCAATAAGTTTAGAGGGCTTAGCTGCCGAGTAGATTTGCGTAAGAAACGTTAGGGAAGCTTCTCAAAGAGTCAGTCAAAATTATCCCCTGGTTGGTGGTGTCGAGCCCACGTGAAACCCTTAAGTTGAGGCGGCTGGCTCACGGTTGCTTATCTCCACTCTGCGGTAAACATACAACGTAACTCCTGCAGTGCTAATATTTCAACCTGTCCTCTTAAAAATAACGTCGCTTTTGACCGTTTACCCGTATGGCCGAAAGTGGACGCAATTTGAAAATGAAAAAAAAATGAAAATGAATTTGGAATTTTTTTTCAACAACAGTAGGTTAAGGGTCCTCTGATAGGTTAGGTGGGCAGGAAATTCGTATAAAGTTTCAAAACGTTATGAAAAACGTTAATTGAAAGTTTCCTCTTCAAACCATACCGAGTAAGCCGGACGATTCAAACAGAAAACGGGACAGTACGTCACTTGTGAGTCGATATCATTTAAAATTACGTCCAAATTTGGCCATAGTGCATATACGAGCCAAAAGTGACGTTATTTTTAAGAGGACGGGTTGAATATTTCCCCAGTTAATCTCAAATGACTACAATAACTTCCTTTTTAGACCTAAACTTACTCTGGATGATTAAGATCTGCGGAGTAACGGCCGGCTAATTCTAATACAGGTAAATGTGACCATAAATCCCAATAGAATATTAATAACCGACCGGACACAATTTCCCTTGTCGTGTGAAGCTAGCAGCAAAGTCTGGGAGCCGTGGTACGTCGGATGACCCCAATATTGGACGATGCTAATCGGCTTGCTTCAGCAGGGATCAGCTGGAGCTCGTGTTGTCGTACAACCCGTTCTCGCACTTTCTTTAAGTCAATATTGACTTATTAAATACGTGCATATGTGACATACTAATTTGTTGTGAATATTTTAGTTTACCTTGAAAAGCTTCATAGAAAACACCGACCTTACCTAACCTTCTTAGTATGTTGAGATAAGCATCTTATTGCTTCGTAATTTCAATTATTACTTAACCTATACCTATAATAGGTATAGGTTATACCTATTATTACTAAACCTATACCTATAATAGGTTAAGTAATAATTGTAATTACGAAGCAATAAGATGCTTATCTTAACATACTAAGAAGGTTAGGTAAGGTCGGTGTTTTCTATGAAGCTTTTCAAGGTAAACTAAAATATTCACAATAAATTAGTATGTCACATATGCACGTATTTAATAAGTCAATATTGACTTAAAGAAAGTGCGAGAACGAGTTGTGTCGTGAGAGTGTGGGCGAGTGACGCGTCCTCATCCCTCGATCGTGGGGAACGTCCAGAAAATTAGTCACGCTATTGAATTCGTCTCGTTCACTAACGAGACAATATTCGCGTCATTTTACACCCTAATATTTTACATCAAATTCCAGAAAACCATTTTTCATTGTTCATAACACTGGATCGAAAAGTTTTTCGTGATTAAAAGCACATTTAATAAGTTCTGTATACGTGACGGGATTATTATTCTGCCCGTGAATCAACATGTCACGGATGTGGAAATTTACCTTGGGACGGATATACATATGAATTCTTTACATAACCCCTCAAATATTTACACTCTGGACACACACAACATTACGTGCTTCTGGAAGTGATCCTCTTAGAGTCTGAAGACAAACCACCTTAACTGCTCGCCTGCTTCTTGGAGAGTTAAAATGCCCTAATTAGGAACACTAAAGAAAATATAACTAGTTTTAATATAGCTTTAAACAAATCCGTTTTATTATTTTTATCTCTTAATTTTCTGTCTCCCAAAAAGAAAAGCTAGCATGTATAAAAGGCATTGTGCTCATCACTAGTCTAAGAAGAGTTATGCAGGAGAAAGGATTGTTTACCTTTCACCAGCATGTATGGTAAACTTTCTCCTGAGTGACAGCAGAACTTGGCTGCTGGCGCTGTTGACCCACCTGTTGTGCGGGAGTAATGATAAACTGCGACTTCCCACGAGCGACAAGGCCGCTGCCAAAGTCCGGTCACGACCAGCACCAACACTACCTCCTTCATCCTCATTCCTCCATCATTACCTCCTTGTCCAGGAGATTGGCCTCGCTCCCTCCACTCTTCTCAATTTATAAGTGGTTTCTAAGCTGCTTCAGCTCAATACAGTTGAGCAAGTGGTGGTTACGGGAATGTTTGTTTGGTCGTTAATGATACTTGTAATACTTTGTTTCTCCTGACTTTAACTCGAAAGGGTTAGATCAATAATTCTAGCACGAATCTTTTCTGTATTTATGAGGATAAGCGTTTAAGAACGAAGTTTAAAAATGAACAATCTAAAGTTTATTTTACAATTTTATTGGATCTAACGCGCGTTGCTAAATAACTCGTTTCGACGAAGCGCACTTTCGGAGGCAGAAACTGAATACAAATTTGACAGATGACATTATATTTTTCATGTAGGATGAGGTGAATTTAGATGTTACCAGTCAAGGGGATACCCGATATAAATATTACCTAGAACCCACGACTGGGTAAAAAAAAAAAAATACCCGCGACTGGGTTAACTAATGGTGGTCTTTACGGGTTCACCATAGCCCGTGCTACATGGACATTTCGTTCTGAGTAGCTAAATCTAAAAGAACAACAACCCGCGACTCGGTAACACCTCACATCACCTCACCCAGCAGGGAATGTTCGCTGTCATCTCTCCCAAATTTGTGTTCAATTTATCTCTACCTACGACGATGATGAAGTGTTTTATCGTAACGCATCCTTCAACGCCACCTCTTAATTTTCCATCAAATACCTTTTGAATATATATATATATATATATATATATATATATATATATATATATATATATATATATATATATATATATATATATGTATATTATTATTGTTATTGTATATAACATATATATATATATATATATATATATATATATATATATATTCATCATTCATGAGTTGTCTTAGGTATGGTATATTAATAGAGACTTTGCCAATATTTTACATTTGCTTATATTTCAATATTTATATAAATATAAAACAAATCCTTGAGTGTGGTGAGGCTATACAATAGTTGTGAGTAGACATGAGTATATACACTCCTGGGGAGGGGAGGGGGGGGGGGGCACCAGGGACACCATCATGACACAGATCACTCTCTCCTCACCGGTCAGGTCATTGCAATAGGTAAAGGGTAAGTTTACCTGTGCAGATCGCTTGCTTGCAGGCTGCACCGTCACACTCCTGAATCAACAAGACCTCAAGTACATCCAGTTGGGTTTAGGTATTGTTTGAGGGTCTGTGTAGTTGTTTTACTTTTTTCCGGGAAAAGTCTATAGAGTAGTACAAGGTGTGCAGGTGACCTGTTGTGCTGTGTTTACCGCAGACGCCTCACAACTGATTGGTCCTGGGTTTGATTCCTGGGCACGGTTAGACATTTGGCCACTTCTTCTTATACCCGATGCATTTGTAGACCTAGCAGTAAATATGTGCCTGGGTGTTAGCCCACTTTTGTTGGTAGCAACTACTGAGGTATATAGAATAGTGAGGCGAGATAAGACCTTGGCTGACAGCATTTGGATCACATTAAAATTTCTTGTGTTCAGCTCCAGGAGTACGTAAAATAATTAATGTTAAATAAGTAACATTAGGGAATGTTAAATAATTAATGTTATAAATTATAAGCCTCTCCTAGAAGCCTTATGGACATGAGTGTTATGTATTAATAATTTAATTATTTCAGTCACACAGGTTAAATAAGGTAGTTTTTCACTCACCGAAGTAACATTTTTTTTTTTAAGTATATTTAATTTA